ACATGGCTGCATTCCAGGCAGGACTTGCCACCACAGCACTCCCTGGTGTTGCCACACACACTTCTCCCCCATCTCCGCCCCACTTTAACTGGCTGCCACTGACCTGTTCTTTTCCATGTTGTCATGTTGAAATGTTATATAAACAGAATTGTCCCATATGTAAACGTTGGGGGTTGGCTGCTTCTTGTTCAGCATAATTCTCTGGAGATTCATCCTCTTCGTGTTTGTAGAAATTGTTTCGGTATCTGCACCTGAAGCTTAATTCATGTTGCATTACATATAGTTTATAGAGTCTCAGTTTTGCAGGATGAAGGGCTCTGGAGATTGGTTGCACAAAAGTGTGAATGAACTTAAAACTTAACTGTGCACTTGAAAATGGTTAAGATAGTAAATTTTATGTTGTGTGTGTGTTTTATCACAATTAAAATTATTATATATTTTTAAAAAGATTTATTTATTTATGCACAAGAACCAGGGGATAGGCCAGAGGTGCAGTGCGTGAGAGGCTCCCCAGAGACTGAGTGGGGGCAGAACAGGCAGAGCCACTGACATCCACTGCTGAGGGAGCAGCGGGGAGCCAGGAGGGGTGTGCTGTGCCCTGTGGGTCACTCCCTGGCCGGGGATCAAACTAGTGCTGCAGTGGCTGCAGACAGCTCTAGAGTGCTGAGACTTAACCCCTGGTGCCACCAGGGAGGGCCCTAAAATTATTTCAAAGGAACAGAAAATTTCATAGAGAGATTCTAAAGCAAAAAATGAAATTGTTTGGGGCTCAAGAGATGCAATCCTTTGCTGAGAATGGAGAAAGAGCCATTAATTCCACCAGGGGGATCGGAAGAAACACTTGTCTGACTCAGCACTAACACCTAGCCCCTGGTGTAGATGATGATACCTGCATCTGAAATGAAATAAGATTCCCTTCTACTTGGACCTTTAAATCCCTAAGAGCCCCCAACACTTTTATACCACCTCGCTTCCCACGTAATTCCAGTTGACATTAATCTCCATTATTGTCCACAGTATTTCCTGTCTGGGGGACCATCCTCTTCACCATCCCTGTCTCTGCCATCCCTTCTGGCTACCAGTTCTCAGCCACCCCAGAATTCTGATATACCTGGCCTAGAGTGTAGGCTGAATTTCAAGCTCTGGGGATGAGACTAAGAATCAGTTTTCACATCTATCTTCCAAACAATATCACCACTTCAATAACAAAGTAATGCAACCTCAAAATGACCAGAATTCCTGGTTTCTGACTAGCATGGGTGGTTGCTACTTTTTGTTTGTTAGCTTGAACCTGTTTGGGCTCTGACCCCTATTTAATCCTTTCACCTCCTAGATAAATATGCAGATACCCAATTATTGCAATAATCCTTCTTCTTGACAATATTCAGCCCCTCACTATTCTAAACTCTAATTCAGAATTGTCCAACAGAACCCGAAACTCTGACTCCTGACTTTGCCCCCTGAAGCCGTCCCATAATTGCACAGCAGGATTCTCTGCAGTAAATACAACTTATTCTCTGCCACCCGTTGATGTCTCCTAAATCTCATTTAATCCACAGGTTTTTACCCCATCTTCTCTTATTTTGTGGTTTCAACTGATCATTGAAAACCCCAGATTATGTATCCGGTAGAGTATTCCCTCCACCTGAATTTTGATCTCTCAGACTTTCCTGTAATCCCTCTAAGTGAGTCATTACCTGCAGACTAGAGACTGATCAGATTCAAACTGAAGGGTGTGTTTAGGTTGATTTTATTCTCACCACCATTTCTTATACTCCTCTGGCCCTTTTTTCCTCCCTCTCCCTCTTCCTTAACATCAAATCCCTTTCCTCTGTTCACTCCAGAGCTTAAACAAATTCTATACCCATTCCTTCTCACCTCTTAGTCTCCTCGCCTAGCAACTCAGGAGCTTAAAGATCTTTGAGTGTGGGTGAGAGGGAGAGAAGAGAAATTGCTTATAGGCTCAGGGAATGAAAACGGAAGAGAGCAGAGAGATAGACAGCTGCAAGGATCTGACTGGGAGACTGAAACAAACCCTCATCCTCAACTCAGAGCTCAAATTTCTTCTCTGGACAGCTGACATTTTTAGTCCATCTGAAATACTCTGTGAAGATGGGGGTGGAGCTGTAAACCACCTCTGCTGAGAACCTTATTTAAAGTTAGCTACCCCCAAGGTATGTTCTATAGACAAAAATGCAATATTCAGCTTAGCAGGGGTGAGGAGAACAAAAGATCTACACTTGTCCACTCTAATTTTTAAAAGCCGGGAACTGGTCTTTGAGAATGCTGGAGGGCTGCCTGGAGTAGGCAGTAATGGGCGTCATAGAAACTGGAATTGAATATCTGACTTGTCTATAGTATTTCTGTCTCCCTCCTCTTCTTTGCACCCTGAACTCCATATTCTTTCTAATTCTCCTGCTATTCCCACTCTCCCATTCCTGCATCCCGCCCCACCAGCCTTCCTGGAATTTTGGACTTAGCTATTTTTAAAACAGTCAACTCAGAGCCACCTCCCTCCCCCAGCTCAGCTGTCCAGTACTCTGGCCAGCCATATACTTCCCCTTCCCCCCCACACTCTTTGGCTCCCTGACCTCAGGGAGATTGCAGCAGGTCTGGGGACGTGGGGGAGAGAGACATGGAGAAAGAGACGGGGGATCCCCTGGCTGGAGCCAACCGACAGACAGAGTAGGCAGTCATGGCTGGAGAATTGGATACCAGAGTAATCTCTGACCTCTGGAAACAGTAAGTCAAAATGAAATTGCAATTCCTTTAATAAGCTATTGGATTAAAGTTAGACTTTCATAAAATTACACCACCTTAGATGTTGGATGCAAAAGTCAGGACTCCTCCATACCAAGGCTTCCCGGTCTCCATTTCTCCTCCTGTTTTACAATTACCTGGCCTTTGGCCATTTGAAGTTTAATCCTCTGTCAGGCCTCTGGCAGTCTTAGCTCCCTCTTTGCCTTGCTACCTCAAGACTTCTGAAGAGTCTTAGGAGGAGTCTCCCAGGTCCTTACTCTGTGTTTTTTTCTCACCACGACCAAATGTCGCCTCAGATGAGCCTGAGTTGTCCTTCTCCTGCCTTTCCTGAGCAGGGGCCTGCACACTGGGCTGCCAGGAGTGGGGGTTCCCCTTGTTGAATCGATTTTTCCCTGCAACTCCACCTACACCATTCTGTGCTCCCCCTTCATGGCTCTGCCCCCGCCAGGTCTGCACCCCCAGACAGGGAAGCTGGGCAGGAGGGGGTCAGCATCTTCCCCAGTCCTTTCCTCATCAAAAGACAGAACTGAATTTCCTTTGCACTCTCTGCTATGGAAGATTAGTGGAAAGAGTGGTTCTTCAGGCAGGTTTGAAAAAATACATGAGTTGTTGACTCAGAGCAAACAAATACTGATTTGCATGCTGGGTTTGTAGCCCATGACTCTGTGAGAGAGAGATTATCATGGCCACTCTCGAAAGTAAATAAGAGACTGGTTGCCTTTTCATTTGAATGCTGATATTCTAGAGGGGAAATGGTCCTTCCTTCCTTCTTTCCTTCCTTCCTTCCTCCCCCCTTCCTTCTTTCTTCTTTCTTGCAGAAAATTCTATCTGAAAAGGATGGGGGTGGCGGGGTGTCCCTTCCTGGTAGAGAGGGGCAAATAAGAGACACATTTCTGGGGGTTTTCCAGTCCTGCTTCTACTGGGAGTTCCTTAGGATAAGTGGGATCTGATCCACGACATGATTCCTCCATTTATTTTGGTCTTTTATTAATTCATTTTTTATATTTCTGCTGTTGGGCAGCTCAGGATGGGGCAATACAGTGGACTCTGGCACTGGAGTCCACCTTCTCCCCCCCCCC